TGGTCCATGCTGTCCTCTCGTCTCCTCCTTCCTTACGTCCCTCGTGTCTACGGAGTACTCTATGTACGTAGGTACTCTCCCCATCTCCAGGTCTGGGTTCAGGCCCAGATCCTGTTCCAGGGCGACAAGCTCCATTTCCAGCTCCAGCTACAGCCCTAGCTCCATTTCCGTCTCCGTGTCCGTCTCCATTTTCTCATCCCATCTCAGCCCCCTTCTTCCCGTTCGTTTGCTCGCCTTGCCCGCCCGGCCAGCCCGTCAGCCACGGGTTGGTTAGTGGCTACCGCTCGTTAGCTAAACTTCATCTTGGCCGATGACCAGGCACAGGACGGGCCATCCATGGATAGCGGCTGAAGCATGCCAGGGCAGCCAGGCACATGCTGGTTTTCTTCAGTGCCTTCATCTGCGCCTTCGCCAACCGCCCAGTAAGAGTCGTGATCCAGGACCGACGCAATGGCACACCACGTTACGACGCAGAGGGACTTCTCCTTTTCGGGATGCGTTCATACCGAGAACGAGAAGCCCGAGTTCGCTTTGGGTTGCAACCACTCAATCTCCATCGCCATGACAGGCTTTCCTCGCTTTACAGGAGCAACACAGCAGCGCTGCTGCATGTGTCTCTCGCCCAGGTGTGGCACATTGCACTTTGTACTGCGGATCGTTCAGCTCGACTCGACGCAGGCACGAATGCTGACAGGCCTAACCAACTATGCGTCAAGTTGAGCTGCAACTGGCTCCTATCGTCGTGAAGCAAGACAGGCGAGATAGGACGATATCAAGACATCTCGCACCCGCCCGTACCGACGACGCCCGGCCTCGGCCTGGCATGCTCGTCGGCATGTCATCCATATCGGCGCCCACATTTACATGTCCCGGCCACGCGCTAGGGCGCAACGTGCCGCTTGCCTTTCTCGAGGTCCCGTACCACCATTTCCCTCCCTAAGACACCCCCTCTCTTCCCGGTCTACCTTAATCGTGCATCACTGTCTCGTGGTGCATCGAAATCTCAGAAGACATCCGAGACAAATACACGCATGTCCGCACAGAGCCACCGAACCCTACAGAGCCAGGCACGTCAGGCCAAGACAAGGCATGGGAGAATTGCAAAACGGCAGCGGCGGATCTCTGCGGCTCCAGGCGAGGCAAGCCTGCACCCAGCATGCTGCGAATATCTCCTCTTCCGTAGGGACTTAACCAATGCCCAGCATCGCTTCCCTTACCTACCTTACCGAGCAGCTAGGTACGGCAGTGTAAGCCTCCTTGCCCTGCAACGTTGGGCAGGGTCTCCGGAGATGGAAACCAATGAGCGGATACCGCCCATGGATAACGACCTTGCTTGCCTCACCTCGACGAGTGCTGCAGTACGGATATCGGATGTACAGATGTACACACAACACACTGGACGCTTCCTTACCTGCGCGCGGCCTTCCTTGCCTGCCCAAAGAAAGCTATCCGTACCTATCTGGCCCTATTCGTACCCACCTTGCCTACCCTCGAGCATCCGTCGAAGGTACGTACGCATACGGGCCCCTTGCCTCATGTTCCATTCTATTCTGATCCCATTTCCATCTTTCATCCTACCTTACCTGGCCTCATCCCATCTCCATCTCCATCTGCATTCCAAGAATCGGACGGCGAATGGCCCTCGACTCCCGCCTCCTGCGTATTCGCAGACCGCAGACCGGCTTGGCGATTAATAACAGGTGTCGGTTCCTTTTCATCCAATGCCACCACCTCAAACCCGTCATCTCATCTCTCTGCGCTCGCAGGTCGATCCCTCCGCTCGCCTCTCCACACATCCCACAACCTTCTTTCGACCCCAATCAGTCATGATTCATTCACGCCCCCCTCTTCTGCTTCCCTTTTCCTTTCTTCCCCCCATGTCCCCCGTGGCCCCTCGTTCCACGCACCCACGTCCGCTCATCTGCTTCTCTCCCCCTCCTCCCTGGACCCTGGACGACCACGGCCACGGCCAGGAGTCCCCACCACCCATAATTACCACGAGCAGCAACAAGAGCGACACCCGTGGCAGGCATACTGTGCTGCGGCGGCGGCACACCATCATTTCTGCGTGCCCTCCCTGTTGGCTGGAGCTTGGCCGCCACGCTTGCCATGCTTTGTGCAGCTACGTACCGCTTTCTGGCTGTCTTACCTCGCCTGCTAAGACGCCCTGAGCTCCAGGAACACCTCGATGACAGCTGCCAACCGATTCTGGCTCATTCGAGCCTATCGAGTCCGGCACTGTCATCCATCACCAAATTGGAAGACAAGATGCCACGGCTGCCACCTTTGAACAAGACATCGTCGTCGTTTTTCGAGCACAACTGTCCCGTCTCTTTTCGTGTCCGGGAGAAGAAGCCAGGAAGGAGAAGAGGGGGAAAAACCAAACCCCCACCCAAGCCCCCAATTTAACACACTCTTCGTACCGTGGACTCTCTGCCACGATTCCATCATATCAATTTCGCAGGCCCTCCACTCACTCCGGCGGCTTGTATCGATCCTGGCCTGGCCTCTCTCTCTCTGGCCTTTTCTACATGCGTAACTGTATCTACCTTAGCTGCCTTCCACTCAGCGGGCAGCTCCTCACCGTACAGTGAGCGTGCGGCGATGCAGAGTAGCACCCCTAGGTGTTGGCCTGTCATCCATTCACTCATCATCATTCATCCATCCTTCTATGCATCCCATCCCATCCGTCCCATTTCACCCCAGGCGCCGTGCAGGAGTACTCTGCAGTGTGCGATGTCCTTTTTCCATCCATCCACCAGTCAGTCTGGTTTTCCCTCTTCCTGGCTCCCGGCTACATGTACACTTACTACGCACTACTCAGACGCAGTACATACACACATACCCATACAGCCATCTGCCATCTGCTACCGGCTCCGACATGCGAGACAACGTGCACCCCTCCCTGCCCACTCCCACCTGAACCATCCCTCCTTCGCCTCCCCAATCAAATTTGGAGCGCTGCACGCTGCACATCCAATTGCTCCCGCTGCTGAGAGCTCTCTCGTTCGCTCGCAAGTCGCAACCACTCACTGTACACGCAGGCACAGGCACAGGCAGACAGGCACCCGCACACACATACACCACACCACCACCACCACCACCACAACCAAAGGGGGAGACGGGGAGGAAGCTGTCTTTATGATTTCCTTATTTTATTTTTCTGCCCGCTGTTGTCTTTGGCGATTGGCTTCTTGGCCACCACGGCCACGGTTCCGTCCCGTCCACCTACCTAACACAACCTAACCTACTTTACCTTACTTATTCCATCAAGCCCGTACCTTGCCCGTGGATGATGTACTTCCCTCCCGTTCACTGACTCTTGTCTCCCCCACTGTCTTATTACGTTGTGGCTTCATACGTACCTGGTTAATCTCACCCAGGGACACTCAGACCCAGCGCTACCATCGCTACCGCCTACCACGACCGCGTTGAACACGCCTCTCTGTCTGTCGCTCCGCGCCTCTCCCTCGCCCTCCTACCAGACAGATATCTGCAGATTGACCATCGTCCATCGGGCTGCAGGCTATTGTGACTACGCCTGCTGCTCTCCATCTAACTATACAGGCACGGGCTGGTCAGCTCGAGCTCCCACTCACACTACCACCCGCTGTCTCTCCGCCCACAGACCGCGGGCTAGTCCTGGTCCTGTCGAGCCGACCAGACCAGGCCACGGTTCACAAACCACACACCCTTACTTACACCTTACACCACTCCTCGCTGTTCTCTGGCTCTCACACACAGACGCGCGGAGAATTGTCGTCAGGCAGGGGATCGTGATGGCATAGCCCTCTACCCTTGATTAGCAGCCACTCTAAAGACGTGGACCAGGGTATTCCTTGAGCTACCTGTCCCTCGTCCAGATCAACCCTGAACCACCCTAGCTTCATCTCAATTGCCCCCCTTCCCAGGCCCAGCACGCCTGTCTCCAGTCGCACAAAAACCGACCGGGAGCCACCGATCGACTGCTCCCAAAAAAAAGTCTACGGGGCCCCTTCTCCAACATCCAGCCCTCGACAAATAACGCTCACTCTTCACTCCGGCCACCGAGAAAAGAGAGACAAATTCAGATCTCGGAGCGGGACAGACTTATTTTGTCTCTTCTTCCCTCTCCCTTTTCTACACCTGCCTTCTCTCTCTCTCTATCTCTCTCTCACGCTCTCTTTCTGTCTCGTCAACCAATCCATCCAACCTCCCACCATCGACGACTGAACTGACTGACACTTGGCCGCCAGTCCCAAGTATATTCACCTACCACCGCCTCCGCATCCCGTGCCTGAGGTTCCGCCGTGGTACATCCTGCAGCCGCCCGCATCACCCATCTTTCTCGACGAACCACCATAACCACCGCATGGTAGCTTCATTGGAGCCCGAAGCATTGTTGTGCGAGTATCACTCTGCAGCATCGTCGTCCTCGTCTCACCGCAGTAGCTAGCAGCTGCATCCCTCCATCGCTCGCTTGTCGTTCTCTGGACCCGACGATTCGGCATCCTCTCCGTGGCCTAGCCTTCTCGCGCGCCTCGCACACACGGGTCTCATCGGCACCCTTTTTAAGCCCTCGTGAGCTTGCCACCTTCGATTGTGAGAATCGCGAACCGACCTTGGGGCCTTCCATCTCTTTCTGGAAAGGTAGAGACTCTGTGGAAAACCTGTCCGCAGGCAGATCGCTTCTCCCAAGCCACCAGACATCGTGCATCTTCGTTCCCGAGTTGAACCGAGCACAACGGGGCCAACCACACCGAACGCCAAAGCGCATAAGAGCAGCAGCTATACTGTCTTCTGACGGATTGAAGCGCAAGCAGTAGCATCTGGACTAATCAGCAATTCTCGAGGATTACCTGTTTGGAGATATCGACTTCACGGGAGGCAAGAGATTGGAAACGTTGGGCAAGAGAACCGGTCTTGTCTTGAAAGAGTCTGGGAAAACGGGCCCTCGTCTGGAATAAGACGCGGAGAGCCTCTCGACCTGGACGCTCGCTCAAGCCGGCATCATAACATCCATGCAAGCCACCAGCAGCGATTGCGATACGTCGTCTAACTCGCTCGGCCAGCGCCGAGGCATATCCGATCTGGCGCGATTCGCCCTCGACCTGACTTGGGCATCTCCTCCAAGAGCAGAGTTCGCAACTCCTGCTCAACCCAGAGACTACCCTTCTCCGCCCATGTCAGGGTCTCCTCCACTCCCGCCCAAAGCAAACCAAGAGGTTGGTGACCGAGGGCAACAACCGCATGGCAGCTATCCGTCCGTCAACCCACAAGATGCCTACAGGGGAGGACCACCACCACCACCGACCACACAGCAGGGCGACATCCGAGGACATCCGCCGCCGCAGACCCTCCCGCCCCCTCCAACACGACCTTATCACACCGAGCAGCCAGACAGAATGGCCTACTCCTACCCACGCCCTGACGACCACTTGCGAAATCCGCCATCCGGATATGCCCACATGGCAAGCCAGGCATTGCAACAACGGCCGCCGCCGTATATGCAGATGCCCGGCCCTCCGCCGCCTCCGTCCCAACATCCACACTACCCGGCACCGATGCCGCAGCAGCCTCCCCAGGAGAACGCCCCCTACACGTCTCCCAAGACGCAACGAAAGACAAAGGGCCATGTGGCATCAGCCTGCGTGCCATGTAAGAGAGCCCATCTGCGGTAAGGCGATCTTGTTCCTCCCCTCCGCATAACGGCGCTGAAACGGGCCGGTGTTGTCTTGATACGGTGACGCTAACATTTCTTAGATGTGACGGTATGTACGGCCCGTGGGCACTAATTTTCTTTCGTTCTCGTTGTGCTATTTCCGCATCTTTCTTTTATCTTGTTTTGGGATAGGCATGCGATACCAATAGGAACTGCTGCAAGGGCACGGCACCGCGACCCGCGTGTGTGGGTGCGTGCATGCGGCTGGGAGGGGACTCACACTCTTCTTGGGTCCTCCGGGGGAAGGATAATTGACATCATTATCGGTCGTTGAGATTGCAGGTGTCATTTTAGACGCGGCATTAACCTAGCAGTTGGCCGGAGCGTGCGACACTCGACGCGGAGCAGGGATCAACCCCCGGACCTGAGACTGATCCTGAGGGGAAGACGATCCCGTTCGGGCGGATCATTCGCAGAAACTCGGACGGAAGTTGAGATGGTGGTTGCATGGCGATGGGATGGCGCCGCCGTCAACGCGAAGGTTGTCTGGTCTGGTCTGGTCCACGGCGTGTCCGTGGTTTTGGGTTTCTAGGACGAACGAGGAACGTTTGTCGTCGGCGTCATACCTACCAGCACCAGCGCCTTGACGGTTATCTTCAGCTCCCATCCCAAGCAGTCAGCAGCGAACAGTCGGGGAATCTCGCATTCGACTGTCTGGCCACGGTAGCTTGGCTTTTGGTTCCTGATGCGCCGCCCGGCCGGCAGTTCGGCCCGGCTGGCTGGGAGACTGGCGGGTTACAAACCGGGCCCCCCGGGAGCGACCCTCGAACCGTCGAATCTTGATTACGGTTGGGATCTGGGTGAACTCGCCAATCGCAAGGCGGCAGGTTTTTGGTGTGGTTGCTATCGAACGCTATCGCGTGCGCCATGTCTGAAACAGAAGCGGAGGAGATTCCCCTTGAGCAGGAGTTCTTTTTGGTGGATTCCGCCAGCCGATCGCTGTTGTGTCTGCTGTGGTTCGCGGGATGATCCAAGTGGATTGAGCTAGCGTGTCATTGACGTGTCGGATGCGACGCAGCAGGCGGATGGGGACAACGTCGTCCGCGCAAACGTCTAAGCCACGCGGGTTTACAGGCACGAGCAAGCGCTTCGCGTCTGGGGCAGTTTGCAAGACATCATGCACGTCTTTCTGACTTGCACTTGCAGCGATCATTCTTCATGGAGCGGTTGTCTTGGTTTTGAGTACTTACTCAGTTCTGTTTGCTGACTTGCGTGTTCGCGACAATTAGCTCAACGACCCTGCTCACGATGCACGAGCAACGGCAAGGAAGACGCCTGCGTCGACGTGCAGCACAAGAAGCGTGGCCGCCCACGCTTGAGGGACGACCGAGAGGGCCGGTACGGGCCCTCGACATATCCGCATCCGCAGGATGCAGCTGCAGCAAGGAGGCCGTTGAGTCTGTACTCTTCTGGCGGTCCTATCTCAGGGTACGATGACCCCATCCGACGTAGTCAGTCCTATCGCGTTCTAAAGTCTCAACCAAGCGAACCCCTTGCGCCTCGATACCTAGAACGGGCCTCGCCGGCTGATGCGAACCTCTACGCACCTCCCCTGTCCGCCGCGCCGGGTGCGCCTGAGCCGGTCGTGTATTTGACAATGGAATTGGATATTGCACGAGTTTCGCAGACGTTCTCAGATGCCGTCGGCATCGTCAGCGTTCGAGGTCGAAAACTCTTCGACATCGTCGTGCCCTCGGATCGAGAAAAGGTGCAGAGCCACCAACGGCAGATGCAGGACGAGCGGGCGAGGAAAGATCCGGTGTACCTGCCACCCATCTTTGGCCAGCACGAGCAGGAGCGTGTCTTCGAGTCGTTGCGGTTTGAGGCGGATGAGCTGTCGCGGTTCCAACTGGATCGTCAAGACTTCTTCGTCTTCGCATCGAGCGATGGCCAGCCCCGGTCGTTCTCGGTCCGCATGGGTCTTGCGAAGCGGGAGTCGATATACTTTATCGTGCTCCTATTGAACGCTGCGCCCAGATATCCGTATCCCTCACCTTCACCTCACGCCAGAGACATTCCGTACTCGTACCAGCAACAGGCTCCGCCGCCGCCACCACAGTCACAGACGTATGCCCAACATACGCCGATGTCTGCGACGTTTGAGCCTTCTCGGACTCGGTTCGGGGAGAGCACACTAGCGCCCCGGCCGTCTCCGGGACAGCCTCCGCACATGGCATCCGGATTGAGTCCGGGCGTCAGCCCTGGCATGCCATCATACGCGGCCTCACCTAGCCGTCCTGACTACGCTGTCGGACCGTCCTCCTACCAGATCCCCCGCAGTGAGTTACCGCCGACCACTCGGCCGCCGCAACCCTCATTCCAGCTCCCTCCGATCCGCGCTGGCCCGCATCAGCCTCCTCAACCGGAACCATCATGGCAAAGAGATGAGCGGTCTTCCGGTCGTGTCGACATCGGCGGCTTGCTTGAACAACCGGACCCGCAGCAGCGCCGTCCGCAATGATTGATGACTTCTTCCTCCGCCCTAGCGGTTCGTTGTCGATAATGATTCGCTTCTTTCCGGCCCGGTGCCTTCCCTCCGTCGCAGTGTCGATCGAGTCTCGTCCGGGTCGAGTTCCCCCTTCGCTGGTCCCTCTTGGCCGCCTTTAAAACTATACGGGATGGGCGTCGTGCGTCTGTCTCTTGTATTTGTACCAAGCTTCGCTTCCTTCACCTTTCAAGACCATCGTTCCATTTTCCCCGGCGGTCACAAGCCGTCAAATGAGATACCACCTGTACAACCACTTTTTTCAGCCCGGCCGTTGTCAAACATAACTGTCTGTTCTCTTGTTGTCTTTTTCCAAAATGTCCTTTGCGGGGGACAGTGTGGCACCCGTCGGTGGCGTTCGTTCTTGTTTTCAACCTCTTTGGGGGCTGCTTGGTTATCTGCATGAAAGATGTTGAAAGAGCTGTAGGAATATTCCGGCTACTGTCTTGTTTTCCGGCAGTGGGTGATAAATGGTAGTGAATGATTTAGGGCGGTCATCATGCGTCGCTGTCTTGTTTCTCATGGGTTCTAGCCCCTTGTCGTTTGCCGTGTTGAAAACAGAGGAGATCAGCCGGTGCGTTTTGCCGGCTGTCTTGCATGTTGCTCTCGTGTCCGATGTTTCGTGTTTGCTCTCGATCGAGGTCTTGCGTGTTCCTTGCTGTCCAAGAGAAGCCCCCTGTTTGGCTCTAGTCTTAGTCGTCCATGTCGTTCGAGTGCCGGAACCCCATGGAGGGAGGGGTGGTCGAAGGCGAAAGGGAATCCGAACTACGCGGTCGGGCCACCTCCTTCTGTTCGTGTCCCTGGTTTCGGCCCGCGTGGTCGATACTGCTCGGTGTCGCTGCAAATTGGCTGGCACTAGCTGAAGGAAAAATTCCTGGGGACGGCCCGTGTCGATGTCGATGATGCGGGCTGAGAGGCAAACAAGTCCGTTCAGTGGATGAACGACGCGCGGGCGGGAGGCGTCATCATCTAAGCCCCGGAATGTGACCACCTTTGAGAGCCGACAGCTAGAATCCCCCTTGTCCGACAACCACAACCTTTCGTCATTCCGGTTCGATTCTCGAAAGAGCGGTCTAATGCGGCCAGACCGTGGGCGGGCGAGATGACGGGTGGGAGAGCGAGCGCTTTTTGAAGTTGGCCTTAATAATTGCTCAGTGTTCAGGGTCCGGCAAATGCGGAGCCCTGGAGACCGGAAGTGGGGGGTCAATGCGGCGAAACATCTACCGTCGAGGCCCGGTTGATGATCCCGGGGGCTTCGGACGGTGTCCACAGCTTGTTGCTGTACGTGTATGTTCCATGGTCCCGGGTGGAGGCTGATGTCCTTCTCGCTGTCGACGTGTGCGGCCGTAATGTAGCATACTACCTCAAAAGAGGAGCCTCCATACGCATAGCACTGGGCTGGGCTAGGCCAGGACGGAGGAGTAATGCAGGCGAGGGTGGGAACAACGCTGCGTAGAGAGGGAAAAAGTGAAGGGAAAAGTGAAAGTGAGGGAGGGGAATGAACGTAATAGAGCCAAGGGAGTGGAGGTACATAAGAGAGAGAAGCAGAGGAGGGAGACGAAAGGAGAAAGATTCTCCTGCGAGCAGGCCCGTAGATGATTTAACACCTGGTTCATAAGAGAGAGGGAAAAGGCTTTGGCCACTCACACGTAGTCTGCTGTCAAGTCTGTCAAAGCCCTTCATCCATCCAGTAGGCGCCCAGCCGGGCGGCCGGCGGACGCGGATGCGTGCGTCTAATGTACTCCATCGACGTGCGTGCCCAATGCAAGTGGTGCATGGCATGGCCAGCCCTCCTCCTCTGGCGTGGGTGGTGTGTGGTCATTTCGCGTGGCCCCTTGGACGAGCCCTTAGTGTAGAGTTGCATCCGCATTGGAAGGTATAATCCGGGTCTGGTATTGGACTCATTGGAAGCGGGCTCGCGCCTTGATCTCCGCTCGCGTTTGCCGACGAACCATTTTACGCAAGATCCATGATCTTAATAGAAGGAAGCGAAAGGAGAGGCAGATGGGGCGATCTGGGAGCGAAAGGCGGTTGAGTGACGACGGCTGTCTGACTTGCTGCTTGGGAATGTCCCCTCGGCGACCCATGAATGTTTTCTGTGAAGTTCAGGATGTGTTGGTCATGCCATTGGTTCCATATGCTGCCCGGCGGATTTCGTGTTTCCCATGTTCTTTCTGTATTCCCTCCTTCGTGGCTGATTCTTGAAGTTCCGCATCTGTGTATGGGCCAGAACGGTAGTATACTATGGCGCAGGCTGATGGGCACGTTCTCCGTTTCTTTGGGTGGGAAGAGCGTCGTCCGCAGATCGTTCCTCTGCTTGGGTAGCCGTGAAGTGGGAGCCATGCCCAACAAAGGAAGAAGCCGTGAAATGAAGCGGGACTGCGAGATGAGATGAGATGGAATGTGAGAAAGATGCGATGTTCAGGGGGACAGTGGGCGGGAGGTAGGGGGGAGCAACATCGTCTTCTTGGGAAGTTGGGAGACCGTTAGTATACGTAGGTAGGTAGGTCAAGCCGTTTCTCACCTCGGTCTCCTCTGTTTATTACCCCAGAGCCAACCGAGAGCAAGGAGCGGAAAACGAACGAGGAAACGAAACGAAACGAAACAAAACGGATTTTAGCGGCGGGCGTGGGGCATTCCAGAGGAACCAGCCAGGGGGATGGGATGAAGACTGCAGGGGATGAGCCCTTTACGGTGGTGAAAAATCTCCGAGACGGAGCGGGACAGCAAGTTTGTGGCCCGAAGAGTTTTCGTTCGGTCATTGTGCATGCAGGGCGGGCGCTTGTCATTTCTGAATGCGGTAGTGCCCCCTTGACGTTGCAAAGATGAGGAATCAGGGAGCTGTAATTGAGGCCTGCAAACCACGGTTGTCTGTCTCATGATTGACGTCGATGGGCAGAGAACAGAAGACTGCAGCGCCTTGGAATGAGGATAGGGGGGGAGGTCGGGAAGACGAGACACCGTAATGTTCGCATTCGTCCGAGCAACGGAGACAGAATGCCAGAGTTGAAACGCTGACAGACACATTAGGAAAGCTGGTGGATGCGAGACGCTGGAAACGGCAAGAGGCGACAGGGGTCTGTAATTGTCTATTTGCTATTCGGGCATGGGCCGACGGCAAACACGAAGTCTTGTCTTGATTGAGCGAGCAAGAATGCGAGGCGGAAGAAGAAAGCAAACGAAGACGAAGAGGAGGGAAGAAAGATCAGAAAAGAACAAAAATACGGCGACAAGAATGACCTGAAACAAAAGAGGCGCGGCCGAGAGATCTTCATGATGTTGGCTATTTCTGGGCTTCTGCCGTTTTGGTGTGTTCAACTCCAGCGCGCTAAGCTGCCCAGATGCCCCGAGGGGGAGGCGATGCTTGCTGAACTGGGCACCGTGGCACGTTGTTTAGTTGGGGGTCGCACCTCCAACAGGAAAGGCGTCGAGCGTTAAGGTTGTTTCGAAACGGACCTCGCATGGCGAACACGTCCTGTGGCCGCCTGTTTGCCGGGGAGGGAAATGAGGGAGGGGCGCCGGACGGTGGCGGTGCCGACCGCTGGACCTCGACCACACACGTGGGTTGGCTGGCCTGCTGCAGCGAGCAACGTGCGCTATACGCCTGCCCAAACAGCTTCATGTCCTCTTGCTCAGCGTCTGGCGAGTTGAACAAGATGAGGGAGGGTCTCTCTGGATGCTGCGTCGCTGGTGAGTCTTGTTGGGACATAGTGTGTGGCTTGCTGCGGACGGTGAATCCCGCACCAAGAAGGCCAGGCCGCCAGACAAGCGAGGGTGACGGCCCTGTTGGGGGCCAAGGTTGCCGTTAGACCACCAGTTAGTCGAGTCTGATAAGAGAGGGGCGATGTTGCGCTGCCGGTGGACGTTAGACGGTAGGTAGGTCGTCCTGCTACTGCAAGCATGGCATCATGAGATGGGGTTGGGTGGGTGGACGGCAACTGAAATTTGCTCCTCAATCTCAACCCTTTTGCTGCTCTGGGCTCGAGCTTGACTGGTAGGGTCGTCTGTTCGACTTGCCGTTGCCGCCGCTGTCAGTCGTTTGAGCCGCGGATGTCGGTGCTGCCTTGGGCGTAGGGTTGCTGCCACGAATAGGCAGTCTTCTCTGCCTCTTGCTGTCCTGGCCCTCGACAACGACTTCTTCAGGTTTGGGGTCTCGGTGTGAGACGGGGGTAGTAGGTCTGGCCCTCTTAGCCTCTTCATGCTGCTCGTCTAGCTCGAGAAACATCTTGTCTGGCGATGGAGGCAAGCTACCACTGACGACTTGGTCGATGCCCCGTTTCATTCTAGGTCGAGGAGACGACGGGCTTGCTCGAGGTGGAAGACGCATGTCTATCAAGCTGTCGGCGAGAAAAGTGCGAGCAACACGGCGGCCGTCTGGGTCCTGGAGGAGAGATTCCGGCGTGGGCAGTCTTGAGCTCCGTCCGCTGCGTCCGCTAAGGCGGCTGTCAGACGTGACACCCAGCGGTGGACCCGACGGCATCAGGGACTCACCTTGTACTCGGCGGGTGGACGCGAGACGAGGTCGCCCCGGCCTCTGCTGTGGCTTCTGATTTGCCGTCTTCGCACATTGTCAGGAACGATTTGGTGGGGGGATTTTAGTTGACGACTGGTGATCAGAGTTGTAGCAATTTCGGTAGTGCAGGTTGCAAGTCGTGGTGTTGCAACGTGGGCGACCCGTCAACTTTGAACAAGAGGGCCGTCCGTGGCAGATCAGATGGGCGGCAGCCCAGATTCAGAGGAAGCCTCGGGAGACCCAAGGCCGTGCTGCTGGCGTAGAGCTCTGTTCGCGAATTTCATGCGAAATGCGGATTGCCGAGATGTCTCGCAAGAAGCTGCATCATGGGGCCAAGAGCATCTGGCTGTGTGAGGCGTGGTTCTGTGGCTGCAGCATTGTAAGGTGCACTTTGCGCCTGTGAAATGAATCGCGGAGGGGAGGCAGAGTCATGGATACGAGATGTCTTGGAAAAGCCTGACGTCGTCAACGGTTCCAACGATGCGTCGGTCAAACGGTGGCTTGGAATGACCAAAGATGGAAGACTCATAGGTATTCGCCAGTCCACCAAGGCACCTACTGCCTGCATTGGCAGCAATGGACGGGATGGCCCCTGCAGTAGCTGGCAGGTGGAGGGCAAACCTTAAGTGGTTTTGCTGATTAAGGATGTGCTCACGTGATGACGTATCTGAAGACGCGACGCAGGCCCCACCCGGGCACGCTCTGAGTACCTACCGGTGCTGTGGCCGAGGCAAGACACGACTCACAGCTGGACCTACACTTCACTACACTACGACGGACAGGCGGACCTGTGATTGCACTTGTCCACGGCGACGAAACATAGTCAGGAGATTACCCGTCTACCTATCGTGGGGACTCCGTCCTCGCCTCACTTCCATTGCTGCGAATACTGGACGCCACCCAGAATACCACCAGGATACCACACGACACCACAACACACCACACCTCCCCGTCTCAGTTCAATGCCCGCACCTACAAGACCCAACCTCCCGCGCTAGATCGAGAGGAAATCTCCGACGTGATGGATACCGATTCCCCTGTCGGCACGAAACGAAAGGCGGAGGAAGATCCCGATGAGTCTCGTGCGCCCCGCCGCATTCGCGTGAGCTGCACTTTTGCGCCTCGTTTGATGTGTCATTTTCTGACCCCCGCCGCTAGGCCCTTGACCCCAATGTCGTCAACAAAATCGCTGCTGGAGAAATCATCGTCGCTCCCGTCAATGCCCTGAAGGAGCTGATTGAGAATGCCGTCGATGCAGGCGCCACCTCAGTAGAGGTCCTTGTCAAGGAGGGCGGCCTTAAACTTCTGCAGATCACCGACAATGGCTGTGGTATCCAAGTAAGCTCAGCTCTGTGTCTTTGACCCTCAAGCTTGCTCTGATCTCTGTCCAGAAAGATGATCTCGAGATTCTGTGCGAGCGTCACACCACTTCCAAAATTACCTCATTCGAGGACCTCACCTCCATCGCCACATATGGCTTTCGAGGCGAGGCGCTGGCAAGTATTAGCCACATCGCACACCTCTCCGTCACCACCAAAACCAGTGATTCCAACTGCGCATGGCGTGCTCATTACCTCGATGGCAAGCTGGCGCCTGCAAAGCCCGGTCAGCCCGCCGAGCCAAAGCCAACCGCCGGTCGCCAGGGCACCCAGATCAGTGTCGAAGACCTGTTCTTCAACGTCCCGACCCGTAGAAGAGCTTTCAGATCCCCCGCAGAAGAGTACAACAAAATCATTGACGTCGTAGGCCGCTACGCCATCCACTGTAAGGGAGTGGGCTTCTCCTGCAAGAAGCATGGCGAGTCGGGCACAAGTATCTCCATACAAGCACTTGCCACCGAGGTCGATCGCATTCGCCAAATCTATGGATCAAGCGTTGCCAACGAGTTGATGGAGTTTGACACCTCTGAAGACCGTTGGGGTTTCAAAGCGAACGGCTGGGCAACCAATGCCAACTATCACATCAAGAAGACTACTCTACTCCTCTTCATCAATCACCGGTCTGTAGACTCTAACAACATCAAGAAGGCCCTCGAGCAGCTGTACGCCACATTTCTGCCAAAGGGGGGCCGCCCCTTCATCTACCTCAGTCTGGAGATTGACCCTTCCCGCGTTGATGTCAATGTGCATCCCACCAAAAGGGAAGTGCACTTTCTCAACGAGGATGACATCATCCAGTCCATCTGTGAACACATCCGGTCGAAACTCGCCGAGGTGGACACAAGCCGTACCTTCATGACACAGAGCCTGCTGCCAGGTAGCCAACTGATGCACATATCGAACCAGGAGGAAACTGAAGGCAGCCCAAGTACCCCGGACAAACAAACGCCAGGCTTCAAACGGCCACGGAGGAACTCCAACAACCTCGTCCGTACCGATACAAGCTCGCGAAAAATTACCAGCATGCTCCCTGCTGCGGCAGTTGCTGCAACACCATCCAAAGCGCCGCCATCCGCCGGTGAGAATGCGTTGTCCGTCTCAGAAAACATTCAGTATGAGATTGTGGATAAGCCTTTCGCTCAGATGAAGCTTACTAGCGTCAAAGAGCTTCGTGCTGAGGTCAGAGAAGACATGCACAATGACCTCACCGAAATATTTGCCAACCACACTTTTGTGGGCGTCGTCGACGAGCGGCGGCGCTTAGCAGCTATCCAGGGCGGCGTGAAGCTGTACTTGATTGACTACGGCCGCGCCTGTTTCGAGTACTGCTATCAAGTCGGCCTCACTGACTTTGGCAACTTCGGCACAATTCGCTTCACTCCCCCGCTTGACCTACGAGATGTCCTTCGTATTGGGGCCGAGATGGAAAAGAATAACGTCGAGTCAGAGGAAGAAGACTTTGAGGTGGACGTGGTCGTCGAAAAGGTCGCCGCACAGCTCATTGAGCGGCGTGAGATGATTGGGGAGTACTTTTCCCTCGAAGTCAGCCCTGCGGGAGAGCTACTCAGCATTCCCCTCTTGATCAAGGGTTACACTCCGCCCATGGTCAAGCTGCCCCGCTTCCTGCTCCGCCTTGGGCCATGCGTCAACTGGAATGACGAAAAGCCGTGCTTCGAGCTTTTTTTGAAGGAACTTGCGACCTTTTACGTACCCGAGCAGCTGCCCCCAACCATCGGAGGCGCCGGGGACAACGAGGAGACGGCGAACATGGACGAGGAGATCGCAATGCGGCGGAGAAACGTGCGTTGGGCCGTCGAGCATGTCTTCTTTCCAGCTTTCAAGGCAAGGTTAGTTGCGACAACATCGATGATGAAGGCGGCTGTGTTGGAGGTTGCTGATCTAAAGGGATTGTATCGCGTATTTGAGCGATGTTGACGAGCGTTTGGGATGAGCTTGACATTGATGAGTGTAACTACTGGCAACTACTAACGAATATAACCCGGAGCTCGAGAGCTGTGAATGATCATGCTTTCTGAAGCTCCCCAGCCACACATGGCACCGTCTTCCACTTCCACGCGTTGGAGCCGTAAATTTTCTCGTGGTTGGAATTCCACTAGTGAGTGCCCTCAGTCATTCTTGCATTGTCTTTATCCTCTAGATCGTGCACATTTGCATCGCCACAGAAAGCCGTACGTAGCGGCCATGCAGAGCTACAACCAGGCAGTCGCCTACTTCATAGCTGAGCGAGACCGCTGCCGATGAATCTTCATCAACCCAACTCAGCTGCGTTACTCCCCGTACCTCTCGCGTTCACAGCCGAGGCCTCATGCCGAGCTCCCTCCCCGCTCACACCACTGAAGTGCGATACTGGGGTGTACTGTGGAACAGGAGACATCGAGACGGGCCGCTGATGGGCGTTTTGTTGATTCCAGGCCTTGGCTTGGCTGTCGGGACTTGTAGGTTGCTGGACCGGGGATGCGACGGCATATGGCTGGATCGGAGGCTGGCTGGTATCGGGCGCGTTTGTCGGGGTAAGTGGCTCGTTGGAGCGAGCTCCCCTTCTTCGACGGACGATGAGCCAGACGATGACGCATACCGCGAGTGCGATGACGGCAACGCCGCCCACGACTCCGCCGACGATGGCACCAGTGTTGCTGTGTGATTGGTTTGAAGTGGAGGATGATGCGTCCGCAGTGGTTGAGGCAAGGGCTGAGGATGGCGAAGAGTCGGATGCAGGAGTTATCATTGGAACTGAGGGTGTCGAAATAACCGCCGTCACAGCACGGGTGGTACCTTGCGTCGATGAAGTGGTCGACGAGGTGGTCGACGAGGCGGACAAGACCACATCCGCCATAACGAACGCAGTCCTCGACGTGCCGAGCGCATAGTCTTCATTATAGCAACCTTTCAATACCGCCCAAGTGGGGGACACCCATTTACTATAAGTCACGCATCTCGCCGAATACCCATCAGTGGTGACCACGCTGAAGAAGTCCCCTTCCACGTTAGCGTTTGGCCTTTTCTAATCGGGTATCGCAAGGTGAATGCAAGCCGGGGAGTTAGCACAGAGACATCGTGGCACATACCAGCACCGAGTTCCCACCCCTAGCGACGAGCCAGACCGACACTGGGTCGCTGTGCCATCGTAGCATGCGGTTACGGGGTCGGTGGCGGACCCGCACCCGAACCACGAACCGGAGGTCTGGCAGGGAAACGAGGATTGGCATATGTAAGGGCGTTTAGCTTTCTGATGGTTAGCAACCTATCTGCAGAATTGGATGTGAAGGGTCTCACTCGTGTATAAATCACGCACAACACCGCAGGTCAATGAAAGGTCTCTGGGAGCTAATGCGGCGTTTCTGAACCGCACTCTTGGTGCAGGTATTGGGACCGGAGTGATGCCGCCAAGGGGTGTACGATATGCAGTGGTGTGGTGGCCACCATGCTCCTCCATGGTGATGCAAGTGAGAGCTAGATTTTTGAAAAGCAACCCGTTGGTGCAATATAGTACTGCACGAAGGTCAAAGTTGAACGAATAACCATGATGGGCTAGCAAGGATTGAGGGAAATTCGATTGTCTAAATAGCTTCACCCACTGCCAAGTCTACTGCGGCTGATCATATGTCTCGGAAACAGATGCCTCCATTTCATGTTTGCATTTCTTCAGGGTTTCGAA